GGGGCCTGTGGTTTTTTTCTTTTTTTTTTTTTTTTTTTTTTTTGGACAGCTCTGCTCTTTCACTGAAATAAGCAGGGCATATGTCTCACTGGGTAAGAAAAACTTGGACATTATTGGTGTAAGGCATTCAGCTGAAATTTGGAAGATTCAAATTCTAAACTCTACTGAAAGTGTGGTTCTTTGGTAGTTTGCATAATGTGTGCATTTCATTTATTTGTCAGACATCTCCTTTTTCTACCTTTCATCTATCTTCTTTATTTAGATATTAAAAAGCAATTATCATCTCTGTTGTCTGGACAATACCTTGTATGATCCAACCCTGATGTCAGCCTGTAAGCACTGCTGTAACATAGATAGCATAGTACGAAATAATTGTAATAATATTCCACAGTAAGAAATAATTGTAGGAATAATAATTGCAGGAAGAGGAAGAGTCCCAATAAAGATGAAATGCAATAGCAAGACAGTTGATATTATTTACCCTCACCAAAAATGTTTTGGGAAAGAAAGGCTTGTGTATGTAAGGCTAATTACTTTGCTTGTTAATATTTGGAACTCTGAAGGATACTGTCAGTTAGTGCTTACAGTTTCATGCGAACCAAATAGTAGATCAATTTTTTTTTCTTAAAGTAATTTCAGTTGGTTCTGTAAGCATTTGTTGCTTTCTGCCACAGTGATAGAATTCTACTACTTTAATTTTAAGGAAATGGTTTGGTTTTTTTTTAGCCTCGTAATGATGATGGTGATGTACAATGCCTGATCAGGACAAAAAGTTGAAGAGCACAGAAAAAGCAACAGACAAAAAACCTCATGGGATCTCTACTAGGTATAGTATCTGACGTTTTACTTTGTTTGAACTTCAGTAGGACCCATGTGGAATTTGCACTAGTTGCCAAAGCTGAATGCTTTAATTGAAATGTAATGTAAACATGACAACTGTTACTCTGGTCACAAAGTTTATTTACACCTTTGTTGATTTAAGGCATTCTGGAGAAGCTATAAATTCTTCTTTACGCAAAATGGGGACACTAGGCATCACCAGAGAACTTTATTTTTTCTCAATAGCCTGGTAGCTTGTTGATCTTATTTTTTTTCTTACCAAATTACTTTTATGTAACTATTAATATATGTACTCATGCTGTTATGTTTTATCCTAGGGATTTTTCTGATCTTAAAAGGCTTTGGTCTCTCTTACATGTTCAGTCAAGCAAACAACAGGTATTTTTCAATAACCATTATTAAACATGGTATACAATTGTATAATTATAAATAACGGTGCTTATAGTCTGTTGCAGTAGTTTTGCAGTGTTCTATTACAATTAATTAAATCTGTTATTAAAATCTTGTGCAGTGGATGTGACCTCTTTTATTTTTTGGCGGTGTTAGAGCAGTGGGCCAAATACCATTCAGAAAGAGTGAGAGAATGAAGTTGACCAACCTCCTATCCTGATCTACTGTAATTTTTTATTTAAATGGGAAAAAAATTGCTTTGTTATGTCAATATCTCTGGCAGGTTCTATACAGATTTTGTCACACATAGTCAAGCAGTCTAATAGCTTTGTCTTCATCCACATCCTTTATACAGTATCGTGAGAAAGTAGACTTGGAGATTTATTAGTTACAACATGATGAAAAGTGGTAAAGAATATAAAAGCACAAATCAGCATTTTCACCATAAACAATTTGTCTTTGGAGAATAACACAACAGCTCAAAACCTTCAGTGGGTAAATTTTTGTGTATGGGACTTGTACGATCATAGTGAAATCTCATCCACCTCAACCCACTTAGTGAAGCCTGTGTTTGTCATTCAAAGGAAACAAAAGCAACAGATGGTGAAAGTATCAGTCCTTTGAATGCCAAATATCATCTCCCTTTCTGTTCTATAGAAGAAAAAAAAAAGACTTGGGGAATCCTCAGTGGGGTACAGGAGGTGGGGTATAGGTGCCTGGATAGAGGCGTGGAATTGCTTCTGAGTATAAAGCTGAAACATCTGGGTTCTCCAACCTAAGTAAAATATGAAGACTTGTGCAATTGTAAAAGTGAGACTGGTAAGAAACATTGATATTAAGATTGCATGTTGCAGAGTCTATTGAGCTTTGTTATTATACATTTTAAAAGACACTATTCTTGACGTTTTATATAGTTTGATGTACAGCATTGTTTTGCATCAATTCTCCAGCACTTCATTTTTATATGGTGTGGGAGGTGTTGTGTATATGTATATATATATATGTGTGTGTGTGCATATATACACACACACACACACACATTTTATAATGGCAGTTATAGATCCAAAGTATCTGCAGTTGAAGTCAGAACTTGGAAAATGTGTATTTTACTTGCTTACATTCTTATGGAATTGTTAAAATACAGTGTTTGCCTTACGAATACTCTCCCTTTTCTCCTTAGCTTCCAGCTATTAATTTTGAAAGTGGTCAAACCAGCATGACAAAATCTCAGCAATATATCATCAAGAGTAATGGACAAAAAAAACATAGTCAATGGCAAGGATCAATTGAATCTGTTGAACTTGAAAACTTTAGGTAAAAAAAAAAAAACTATTAAATGACACCACGTTGTATATCTGAACATCTTTATATATCTTAAGCCCATTGAGGAGTTGAAGGCATTTGTATTTGTCCTTTTGTCAGTTACTTGTACTTCCATCTTAACCCACTGTCCAAAATATCAATTATATATTTTTAGCTTTCTAAACCTAACTGTGTATATTCTTGCTTTTGTAAGTTTAAGTGATATGCTTCAGAATGGTCTGTTGAGATTTATTATATTTGATTTAAATAAAGTAGTGGTATCTTTATTTGGAAAGCCTGAACTATTACCCGGACTATACCATTATAATAGTCCCAAATTGTGCATGAGAAAAGAATGTTCTTCCATACTGTTAATATTTGGAAATCTGAAATTGTCTTATTCCATTGCAACTGCTCCTGTGACATTTCTTACTTTTTCTTACTAATACAAAGTTTTGATAATCTAAAATTATCCTGTTGCAAGATAATTACCAATAGAGCATTTTTCTTACTTTTTTCATTAGCGTGAGCTACCAGAATGAGAGAAATTTTAGCAAACATCCCAAACAGAAGCTATTTCAAGAGATCTTTGCAACTTTAGTTAAGAACAGGCTTACCTGCAGGTAAGGATACTGCAGACATTTATTTGAATTTAAAAAAGAGAGATCGTTCTTCCTTGAGTTAAGCAAAGAACCAATACCCATGGATATATGTTTCAACAATGGACTTTTGTGTGGAAGCTACTAGCTTCACGTATCTGAACAATCTCAGTTTTAGTCTTTTAAACAATCTTTTAGATATTGGTTTTGAACACTGAATACTTGGTGGGAGGGAGGAAGGATTGGATATCTTTGACTAAATCTAGATGACCAAAATTTTAACATCTCCTATGTTTCCTCTGATCAGCTATCCAAATTTGGTACGTGTAATTTATGGTTTGTTTTCTGATTAATTTCATTCTTGTTTTATTGATACTTGTTCTTATTTTATGGACTGCTGCCAACATATAGAAAGGTCAATGGCTTTCATGCATTTCAGATGAGCTTATGCTGCTGTTCATATTTATTTGTATATATGCATATAACAGGAATAGAAAAGAAAAACCTTTTCTTATGCTGTTCTCATAGCATTTGATGAAGCAAGAAAAAAGTGCTAGATCTTCAAGAAAATAGGGAGGCAGAAAAAGGCTCCCTTTGGGGCCTTCCCCTTCTGGGAAAGAAAAAGCTTTCTCAGAATTTGATCAATATATACCACTGAGGTGTGTTGTGTTTTTCGTCAAGAGAAATCGTTTAGGTGAACTGAAAATTCGGAACCTCTTTTTTGCAAATGAAGTTCATCATCTCAGTACCACTAGAGGGATATCAGTGGCTCACTTTTATTTGCCAAAAGTTTAAGAATAACGTATGTTGTCTCTTTCCAAATTCTGTTTATATGTTGTGGCATAACTAACTCATTTTTTGTTTTTTTTCCATGCCCTTTGATGACGATGATATAATACAACTAACCTCTGTATTGTAAATGAAAGCACCCAGATAAGATTACTGAGACAAACATATATTAGTATGACAGTGCAGTTACAAAGGTGATTTAGTTGCCCTTTGTAAATATATTACTAAAGCTATGATGTTATCCTCTCTTTGGAACTAGTGCCATTGCATTTTGTCAGAGCCTTAGAAGCTGTCACCTTCATCTGCATTACATTCTTTTGCTGGTGTAACTATGTTTGGTTGGCATGCAGAAAATTCACACCCACTTACTGACCTCACTGTGTCGGCGGAAGACCTGGTTGGAGATAGTTCTGTTGACAAGAAAGCTTTGGTCAGCTTAGCTTAAGTTGTTTGGAGAAGCAGTGTAACTAAGCAGGCAGAAAAACTCCTGCTGGCATACGCTGAACGTGCGCTAGGGTCTCCAGTAACAAGTAATGTAAATGTAACTATAGTAGCAGAGGCTCCAAGATGTTAACCAAGCTCAGAGAATTGCTGTCCCCACTCGAAAATGTGGCAGATGGATTGCTCCATTAAAGAAACTCACTTCAGTCAAAAATCAAGGCCTTTTGAAAAAATAACTTTATAGAACCACTGTTCAAAGTGAGATGAAGATCATTTCCAATCTGACCTACAAATTTTTGCTTAGCGTATGGTTTGCCAGTGTGTGGTTGCTGTTTACTCTCCGTGAAAGCTAAGTACTTTTCTGATGGAGCCAAGTATGGAAACATAGTAAAAAACAACATTACTTCTGGCAGAATATTGGCGTAGAAGGGCTGAGGTTCTGCTAGTATCTATTTGTACAACATTTATTTTTATCAAAATATTTTTAGCCATTGGCATCATTCCCAACTGCAGATGATAACAAGAGAAGAGAGCTGCCACATTACACAGACTTCTTCTGTTCCTTGGAAATTGCCCGGATATAGATTCTCTCCTCTCAGTTAAAAAACAAAAAAGTGTCCAATATTAGGTTTAATTTAAATGGGGATATATACCTTCCACAGACAGTGGAAGGTATATTAGTGATGCCATTAGTGGTATTTATGCAGGACTACTGCCCCTGGATGTTTTGTGCAAATCTGAGTTGTGTTTTCTACCTAGCTTTATATGCGGAAACATAAAAGAGGAAGTTTATTTGAAAGTATAATCCTGTATCAAAAACATTTAAACAAAATAATAAATTGTTCGAAAGACTAGTAAAGTCTTTCAAATAATAACACTAATAATAGACTAATAAAATTACAGTAGTAATAATGTATTTTAAAAAATAGGGCAGATCATGGTCATTTAAAAATTTATTTCAAATCTAGCTATTCTTACTTCTGCAGCACACGTGATTTTATCTTATTTTTATATAAGTATAATTTGTGCACTGAATTTTGACATGTACTTTCTCTGTTTCTACCCTTTTGGGCCTTGATGCAACCAAGCACTTAAACTAAGTTTCTGTCAAAGCACGATCAATTTGTGCTTAGAGATGGGCATAAGCTTTCCTGGATCATTTCATTGATAATAAGTGACAGCTAGTAACGTTCATACAATGAAATTTATTTAAAATTGTTACTATATTTGAATGTAAATAGGACTTAAAGTTGTATAGTATAGAATTCTGTAGTATAGTATATTGTATAGCTGATGTAAGTTATTAATTTTCTAGTAAATTGATTCCAAAATTGAAATGCTTTATATAAGTGTTTCTTACACTTTTTTATAGTATTTGGTATGTTTTGGATGTTTCTGCTACAGGGAATGGGTTAATCAAGCTCCATCCACCCATTTTCTGAGAGTGTTAATCTGCCTGAGATTATTAATAAGGGATCCATGCTATCGGGTCAGTATATCAAACTATTATTTCCTGTTTAGAGAAGAGAGTGCGTGTAAGCAGCATGCATATAGTTGTCTAGGGGCGTATGTATAAAAAAGTGTATGTTCTTACAGATGGATACGTATTATATGTCTGTACCTGTATTTCTCCCTGTGAAGATACAAGTAAGGTGCAAGCAAATAGATTCCAAGAGTGACCTTCTGCTGTTCTTAGATAATTTACTCAATTTCTGATATTTATTATGTAGCATCTGTTGTTGCTAACCCTAGCATCTGTTGCTGCTAGCCCTAGCAAAGAACCTGTGAATTTCTCTAACAGATAACTTGATCATTGCTCTGGTCTCTAGATTCCTTCCCTAACTTTAGTTCTTGGTACAAATATGTAAAATTCCTGTAATGTATTAACTGAAGAAAACTGCCTATTCTTCCTGGCAGCCTTATGCTTTAAACTACAAAGAAATATTTTTTTAATTGTTTTCTGGCTATTATAGTTGATAGATGTTTGGGACTTAATCTTATAAGATATTTGTTTTCATAAATTTCTTTCCCAGCTGTTCTGAAGCTTATATTGCTGTTCCTATGGTTTTATATAACTTCTAAACTTGAAGGTCCTAAGCATCTCCAGAATCCATTGACTTTGACAATTAGAGTTAAGATTTTTCAACACTCACGATAAATAGGGCATTTATGTTCAAATATTCTCTCGTTCCTGTGTTTTACGTATTTTGACTCACTTAATTTGTTCATATGTTTACTTTCTTTTAGGAAATGCTTCACAGCTTGGGTGGGATTGAAAGTCTAGCTCAGGTAAAAGTCTCCTTTAGTGCCTTTGTCCGTCATGTTGCCTGTAAAAAGGAGTGTACGTATAATCTTAGTTTATGGAAAGAAGTATGTTCTCCTGTTTGCACATGGGCAGTTGGTGTGTTTTTTCACTAGTGCACAAAGCAACTGTCTGAAACCTAGCAGAGTTTAACCCATGGCTTTTAGTTAGGAGAGTTAACAGGTGCCTACTGGTGTGGGAAAAGGGTTAGGAAAGGTTAACATGTTTGGTTCAGTCAAAAGAAAAGAAACTATAGACTTTTGAAGGAAAGATGAGTGAAGTCGCCTTGAACTTCACCTAATGTCTTCTCAAGGGGAAAAGCATAGTAATAGAATGGCTTCACACGTTGAAATGTGGGAACTACAGTACCTTTGCATTATGAAAAGTTATTGACTGGCTACTGTATTGTTATTGCTCTGTGTTAATGTTACTTTACTCTTGGGTTTTTAATACCTGTTCTTCAGTGAGTGGGAGTTGTCCGTTTGACAGTGAGATACAGCATCTCTTGAATATGTTTGAGACTGACACTAAACATTTGTAATTTTCCTTCTAGAAAAATTAGAATTTGGAAAACCAAATGCATCTTTCTAGAATATGGTCATCATTTGTTAATATTTGTGACGTCCTTGGTACTTCAGCGAACTAATAGAGTGCTATCAGTTCTTTGGTCTGACAGTCACCAGTTTGAAACTAGTGAATGTGGTTCCCACATGAGTAGTTTGGCATATTCCAGTTCTGTGTCATTTAATGTTTAAACGTGCCTTTTGAGGAACTTGCACACCGCGTAATTACAGTGGCCTCCTGAGATGTTGGCAACATCTGCAAATGCGGTCCTCTGCAGCAGGAACCCAAATCATAAAATTAATAATCATTTTTGCTGTATATGTATTGCTGGCATATAGAAAAAAATCATCAGAAGTAATTTTAATGCTTTCTAAACTTTTGAGGAAATTAATCTTTTTTATCTTTCGAAGTGAGATAAAATGAAGTGTTAAATGGACTTCTGGCAATGCGAAAAGCACTTTGAAAAATGTTAAGGTGGAGACTTTCAAAATTTCCTCAGAAATTTGAAGAGTGGCAGTAATTTCAGTGGGAATTGTTTGTCTAAATTTTCTTGCCTAATCTGAATATCTCATTCTAAAGTCCTTCAGCAGACTATTATATACAGCAAAGAGAAAATCATTTTGGTATCATGGTTCTGTGTAAAAATTATCTTCATTTTAAAGTGTTTTGGGATGTTTTGATAGAAAACACTAATAAAATTATTACCACTAGTATTAGTTTGCATAGTATTGTTCTCCTCATGTGCGTTTTCTGTCCAAATTATATCCTGCTACAGTAGTTTTAGTCTCTCTGTGCCATCTTTTTGAAACTGCTGTAGATTCTGTACGCAGTGTTCAGGAGATTTCAAACCCCCACCAACTGTGAGACTGATATGTAAGTGATGCTGAGAATCTTACCAAGATCTTGGGTACTAACAAGCATTACATCCTCATGGTAATTCTCATTTCCTGGATAAGAGTATTTGCCCAGTTAGGTTTTCGGGTTATTAAAAAAGATTGACCGTCTCTTTTCCTACTACATTAAAAAAAAAAAAAAAAAAGGTGCCTGCACTTACAACTTGTGTAGAGTCTAAGCCTGCCTGTTGTGTGCTAAGCATGCTTGAGGATATAAAGCAATATTGATTTGGACTGAAGATCCATCTAGCTGTTGCCAACAGTAGCCAATAGTAGATAGTTAAGGAGAAATATGAGAGAGATACAACATAGTCCTTTGTTGGCAATGACTGAATAATTTTCCCTATTTATTTTTTCTGTGCCAGCCGTGTTCTGAGAATGCCCACTAGGTCTCATCTGAAGAATCTTAAAGAGTTTTTGAATCCTAGTCAAGTTTAGGCAGGGTATAGTCACAGTATTGTGCAGCCTAGGCAGTTTGGGAGGATTTTCTGACACAAAAATGGAGAAATCTAGACACTCAGTCAACTTTTACAGTCAAACAGGGAGGTGGCTTGTGAGACTGAGCACCTTCAGGGTTAGGAAGTAGCTGAACAGAAGTTTTTGTGGATTGCAGTTCCAGTCTTGGTCCATCTTGCTCCAGGTTTTGGGATTCTATATTTAGCACTAAGTTTCAGGAACAGCTGAGTAAACTGAATTGCCTAGCAGATGCACCACCTACAGGCTATTTCTGTGCATAACAATTAGATTTATGAATTAAAACATTTTTTTCTAATAGTATCCTTTATTTTCTTTTTCTACCTATAGTGTATGGAAACAGTAGCAAATGGCTATCTTGATTATGGAGAAGAGCAGCATAATGTGGACAAATTGGTCAACATGATGTGTAAGTGTTATAGCTGTTATCTTACAAGTACACTTACAACTTTGTAATGAAAGGAGGCAAAGATTGCGTGTGAGGCTTAAAAACTGTTTAAAATACTTGAGGTGGTATTACTAGATTCAGTGCAGGCATCATCACACAAGAATAAAGGTAACTGATATTGTTGTGGATTAGCACATCATGTTTTTGTGCGTATGTAATATTTCTTCTTAAGAAATTGATACCTCTCTATACATTAAAATAACAGAATAAAGTGAACCAGTCATGACAAAGAACTTAATTGTTTTTTGTTTAATTATTTGATTAGTAAAATGAAAAATATTAACTGATGAACACCCAATTTATGTGATTTCTTATGTTCCATAGATATTTTTCAAAAGCTTGCTGCCGTTAAAGATCAAAGAAAATGGGTTATAGTGAGTGGAGCACATAAGGTAAGTGCTTTATAAAGTTGCTACTTAAAACCAATTAGCTGCTTAACTGAATGATTTATGCTTTTCGAATTTGATCTGTCTGGGACTATATTCCTTACAATGTTAGATTTGTTGTAAAGGAAGATAAAGTAAGGTAATGTCAGTTCTGTGTTTTATTGGTGTGAATTGCTATCATAAAAATTATTTCATGTGTGTGAGTTAATTGGCCTGATGCATGGTTTGAGATAATTAAGTCTATTTTTTTCCTAAACTTGTTCCTATAAAAACAGTAGTCATGTTTACATTATGCTAAACTACATATTGCTATGATTTAAATTGTTAAGAAATATCTTCTATGATTATTCACTTATACAGCATTCTGTGTTTAAATAGAACAGTGTCAACCTTGCTGGAGGTTACCATGAGTGTAAGGATGTATACTTAAACATGTTTAAAGGCTCGTTTGTGGTCAAATTGAGAAACAGTTGAGATCAAGAACAGTAGTGCTTTGCTCTTCTATTATGCTGCAGTAAAACATTGGCAGTTATGATCAGATAATATTTTAAGACATGCTTTTAGAGAATGTAGGTAAATATGGGTCCTACTTTATGATCTAAATCACTTTTGGAATACATGCAGGGCTTTAAATTACATATAGTTTAAATACAAGCTAAAAATTAACTTTTTACTTGAAGGGGCCTTGATTTAGAGTTCTGAAGTGTTTCACGGGAACAGGTTTTAAAGTGGTATCTTAAGCTGGGCGATTGCTTTAACAGTCATGAGTGATGCTAACTGCAGTTTGAAAAGAAAAAATTTTGCTTGTCGTAAGACTAAGTATATTCTAAGATTTTATGTGTATCTTTAAGTGTACTTAAAGTGTACTTTAAGTGTATCTAAGACTTTTAGTGTATTTTGTGAGGATTTTGATTCTGAAAGTTATTGACTTTTCAATAAAAAAAACTAATATGTTTGAGTCATAAGAGAAAAGCATATAGTTTATATTCATTTATCTTGTTCTATGTTTCATTTTCCAGACTTTAGTAAATTTGTTAGCTGCTAGAGACAGCAATGTGCTTTTGGGGGCCCTCCTTGCTCTGAGTAGCCTAGCAGAAAGGTAGGTTCACTTTAACGTGCTGTTGTTCACAATAAGCATTTTAATGTTATCTCTTGGTACAATATTAAAACTGCTGTTTATGGGGAAGATATTTATTTTCAAAATGAGGCCTTGTTCCGCAGAGGCCTATGAAGTGTGCTTAAATTTACACTGAAGCAGTAAGAATGAGAAGTTATAAAGCCTTTACAAGCTGCCAAGTATGAACTTAGGTCCTTATAGCAGCCTTCATGCTAATGCAAGATTGGAGTCACATAACCTCTCTTTGTAATCCCTATGCAGGCCTCTGTAATTCTTATTTACTTCTCTGTGCATAAAAACCTTATGTCCTGAACTGAACATGACAGTGCCCCACGATAACCAGTAGGAAGACTGTTCGGTATGGTAAATAACGAATGCATATAACCAAATACATAATGCATGTATCCTCTCTTCACTAATAGCAGTTTTAAATATACATCTTATTATTTGGTTCTGATGTGGGGAAGAAAAGGAAAAGGAAGATACAACATCTTTCATTCTTAAAGGTTTTATAGGAGAAATGCTGCTTGCACGTTATTTTTCTGCTGCTTTCCAGACTTGTAGAACAATTTTTCCCCAAAATAAAAAATTATAAGGAAAATCATAAAACTAAAGAGAATTGATGCAATTGCTTGAATTAGTAGGAATGTACTGCCTGAGCTTTATCCAGAATTTTTCTTTTCTCAAATTTTTTTCATTCTATTTCAGTTTGATTTTTTTAATATCAGGGTTAATTTGAATTATGTTATGCCTACGTTTTTAACTTGTGTTTAATGTTATTACTAGAGTTAAATTTTTTAAATTTGGACTGGGCAAGAAAGTATTTGGAGTACCTTAAAAATATTTGTGCAAATTATGTTAGATTATAAAAAAAAAAATCTCATTTGCTTAATTTCTTAATTTCTAATATCAAACAAAGTAAATAAATACGTTTATGTCTTTACTTTTACACATTCACATGTTCACATTTACTCTTCTATGTTGGGAAAACTGGAAATTGTGGCAGTGGCAGTTCTTGGCCGAACATGTTTTTGTGATTTTTAAGTGTTCATGTACTCAATACGTTAGTATTATTTAAGTCTTGAGAAAAAATAATTGGTCAAAGCAATGCATAAGGAGGGAGGCTAAAGAGTAATGTGTGTTTTCATAAAATTTAATTTGATATAAATGCCTGGAATAATCAATTTGTAGTCCAGAATGTAGGGAGAAGATAAGTGAACTCATCGTTGTTGAGAACTTGCTGGTGATATTGCATGAATATGATTTACTTCCTAAAAGGTGAGACTTCGCTTGTAGATTGATTCTGTTAAATTTGTTTTTGACTTTTTTATTTAGAGACATGATTATTTAAAGGAATTAGATAATGTGCCATTTTATTCAAGGTAAAGTTCTGAAACTATGTGTTTTCAGTCAGATGTTAATAGACCAAAATCTTTTCTAGTAGGCTGTTTCCTTTCTTCCTATTGATGGCCTACAGTTCAAATAGATTGTAAAGCTACCTTAAAGTGATAGTTACTTTTCTTGGTGCTTCTTCACTTTGCTCCCAGCAGAGCTGACTGGTTAGATGGCAAGCATGTTGAACTCTGCCAGATCCTGGGATGCACAATATAAATGAGTAAAAAATCACCAGACATAGCTGCCTTAGTTTATAGCAGAGGCTGAATCAATCCCCATATCCCTTTGATCAGAAGATCATAAATGTTCCTTCAGTCCTTTAAACCCTATTTCAGTTTAGCTAAGCTCGCTAGTTGAGGATAGTATGTCTGTGTTTGGGTAAGAAACCAAAAGAAACCATCTCAAGCTTGATGACGTTTCACTTATCCTATCACAGTTAAAATTTTTAGAGAGTTTTTTTTATTATTTCTTTGCTTACTTATTTTGCATATGATTAGAGTTAAAGCAATTAAAAATGCCAGAAGATTTTTATTTAGCTTCTGCATTTGAAATTATTTAAATTACATTTAAACTATAATGTTGTTATAAAAATTGGAATTTGAACCTAGGGAGGAAGCTGGTGAATTCAATGCTAATGCTAGTTAAAAATAAAAGTTCAGATAGAATTTTTCATTTTCATGTGTTTCATCAAGCATGCATACAGCTTTTCGGTTCCAAATGGAAGTTGAATTCCCTAACCATAGTTTCTCTGGTGTGTCCACTCCAATTATAGAGAGTGGAATTAATAAAAAATTGTTATGAACTTTTTTGTGATACATCCAATCCCTTTTGTAAACATAATATTCATACTATACTGCGGAAGAATCTAGATCATTTGTGCAGTTATTCTGATTTCGCAGATGGACTGTACAAGTTCATGTAGTGCTACTGGTCGTCCATTGACAAGAAAAAAGGTAACGTGGATTGCTGCAGTCCACCTGGCCTCCTTCATCCTGGCTCTGTATGTATGGCTGCATATGCTGACATTCATACTCAACAGTAAACATGGTTTCATCCCTTGTGAAAATTTGGACCTCCCTTTTTCCCTTTCCCTGCCCCATCAGTGACTTTAGCCAGTCTACAGTGACCTTAAGCAGTTTTCTTTAACCTCTTTTTTTTTTTTTTTTTTAAGGAGGTCTCTGTTCTTTCTCAAACATTTGCTGTTTTTTTTTCCCCGTTTGGTAACTGGTAATTCAAAAGAATATGGGAGTTATTGTTGAAATTTCTTGCTGATTTTTCAGGCTCTCAGCAGAGTTGTTACGACTCCTCTGTGCAGAGTCACGAGTCAAAGAGCAAGTAAAAATGTATGAAGGAGTTCCAGTCCTGCTCAGTTTGCTCCATTCTGATCATATCAAGCTTCTATGGAGTATAGTTTGGATTCTGGTACAGCTTTGTGAAGACCCTGAGACTAGTGTGGAAATCCGAATTTGGGGCGGAATCAAGCAGCTCCTTCATATATTACAGGGGTAGGTTTTCAGTCCTCAGCATTTTGGCAATTTTAGGAGACTGATTCATATATTAAGGTACATTTGACCAAGCCCCGTTTTATCACGTAGCTTCTTTCTTTGGTCCGGCTGTATGTGATGTCTGCAGCAATTAAAAAGCTATTCAAAACATAATGGATGGGAAGTATTTTTTTCCAGTTATGCATATTTCATTATTCTCTTAAATTGCATTTTTCATATTTTCAGTGTATAAACAAAACCATGAATAATTAAAAAAGCCATTACTGTCTACTTAATTTCCCCACTAATCTAACGCCTATTTGGTGAGCTAGAATTGTGGATATAATTGATGGACATGGTAAAGGGACTTTCTGCTTAAAAGTTTGTCTGCTTTTTCAAAGTATATTAGCTAATCTAGTGAAAAGATCAGAATCCAAATTTTCAGAACATAAGAACTGGTTAACAAAGATATGTTAAGCCAATTTTTACATTACTATCTAATTTTCTTCCAGCCAGAGAAATCTTGTTTCTGATCGCTCTTCAATTGGAGGTTTATCTAGTGCAAACGCAGCAGGGAGAATCCAACATCTTCATTTGTCAGAAGATTTGAGTCCTAATGAGATACAAGAAAATACTTTCTCTCTAAAGGCAGGTGGGTTTATAAGGCCTAGTCCTTGGTTATGTATTCACTTGCACCCGCACAAAGTGATCCAAAATATTTCAAAATTGAAGTAATAATCACTGACACCTGCTTTGGGGAGTGGGAACATCAGGTCAGCTGTGTTTATTTCTGGATGTGCAATACCAGTATGTATTTTCAGAAAGCACACTTTTTTTAGAAAGAAGCAAAGGGTAAAGTACTTACTACATGGGAATCATCTACATTTCTTCCACCTGTAAAATATCTCAACTAGTTTTTCCTTTAAAAGTTTACTTTTAGCCTGAGATTATTTTTATTAGGTTGTATTGTTCCCTCTATACCAATTTACTATGCTAAATCAATCCTGAGGTGATTAGAGTGGAGCTCTTTCAAAGTGATATTTCAGAGGGCTATCTTTAGGTGAGGTCAGACAGGCTAGAATCCTTCAGCAGTTGTGGAGAGATTCCCTTTTAGAGCATGTTTCACAATAGCAGGTCAGCTTTGCCATTCTGAAATGCCTTCTGGAGGATTATCTCTCTTTCTAGTCACTATAGAAGGACCATGCAAATTATCCTTACTGGATTTTTTTAGCCTTTACAGTATCTCCTTGAAAATTGTAATTTAATATGTAGCAGTCTGTTTTTGAATACTCTGTCCTGAGTATTATCTCTGAGGAGCTGATAATGTGAAATGAATAGCCATTTGTAGATCTTGCATTCATAAAGACTATGGTCCCCTTACAAAAACATTGATCCCATTGAGTATACATCTGGACTACTTCTGACTGCTTTCTTTAAGGACCCCTACATAAGACAGTGGGATGTAAGCAATGAACTTTCGGAGGTCTTGTGTAATTTTGACTGAGTATTTGTGTTTTTAGCCATCTGAATATCTTTATGAATCTGGCCACATATGCTACATCTCATCTTTTTAATTCTAGCTTGTTGTGCTGCAATTACTGAACTGGTGCTCAATGATACTAATGCTTACCAAGTAGTACAGGTAAGAAGACTTTATTCAGTTAAGTAAGGTATTATACTTTATAATTTTACTCTATCTTGGTTATTTCCTTGAGCAAGGAAGCAAACTGTATTTTAAGTATTTGACTGACTTGTTATTAGTCAGCATCACTTAATTAACAAATAAAATGCATTTCAAAGGGATTGGACAGTATGCCTTTCTGTAACTTTATTATCTGTGTCTCTTTATACATAGGTCCCCACACAGACGTGCCCACTTATATCCACAGGTATCAACAAATGTGTCTAGCTGTTATAGAGAATAAACAGCTTTACTCGGACACATTTTATTTGACTGAAATCTCTTGGTATACTTTTGCAGTATTCAAAATAGAATAGTGAATCAGAGTAACCATGAAATTTATGGAAAAAACACATTTTTTGAGTTTCATGAAGTTTCTTAAAGCAGACTTTGAGCAGCTTAATATTGGAATGTTAGGCAAACAATTTCCCTCTTTTCCTCAGGATTTAATATTTCCATGATAACGTCCTGGCATTCCACTCCCTAGAAATGTGGCTCTAAATGCATTATAAAATGTGGTATTTAAATTAGCTAGAATCAATGGTTCTGAAAACAATTCTTAAAAATCTCTAGTATGGATCCCATGCATAGCTAAAGACATAAATATTGAGGACATTAATACCAGCTAAACTACCAGCTAAAAATACCAGCATTTAGACTTGACTTTAAATGTTAAGTCAAGATTCATAATCCACATGTTAGCTTAAAACCTTGCTAGAGCTATTCCTAAAAGGAATCGAGACAACGGAGAATCTTGAATGTGATAGGCAAAGGAGTTCATGCATTTTTCAAAAGTACCGGTCAAGAGCAAAAGAGTGGAAGTAAGTCTAGAAAAAAATATTTTCAGTGTAGTTTAAGTGCTAAAATTGTCAATAAATCATACCAATTTAGACAATTTTTTATGTGAACCATGTGTCTGCATGTGTTTTAGACTGAGTCTGATTTTATCAAAATAAAATGTAACTTATTTAAAATGCATGTATTTTGAATACAGTACAACTCTGGGCAAATTAAGGAATGAAAAGTTGGTTTTAATGTAGAATAGGACTTTTCCACGTTGCCCCAGCAGTGCACCATAACGGTAGTGTCAGGAAAACGTATAATGGGGTGGGACAATGTACAGCCTGGGAATATGGTGTGTCAGGCTTGGCTTCTTCCCCTGCTCTTCCTATAAAAAGACAATGACCACTCCCCTTGTTAAAACAGCAGCCAGTGTCTCTCTCTCAATTCAGGACATAACTTCGAGTACATTTATTTCAACAGCGGTTCCACCCCACAGCAATCTGTTTAATTTCCAGTTCTGCTTCTTTCTTTCTCCTAATGTAACTTTTCGAGAGCTGCCTGGCAAACAAGATCAAAGGACTCACTTAGGACTATTTTTACCAGTCTATTTTTAGCCTATCAGATGGAGGAAGAAGAGTTGCAGCTCTTTTGATTCTGTGTTGAAGCTTATAGAGGAAAGTCAAGATAAGTTTCTTTAAAGGTTTGTCTCAGTCAGTGGCAAAGGACTTTTGGTTCAGACTGTTTACTTTTGCTATAGCTGCACTCTACCTGTACATCCTGTGCCTTTGTCAGAAATTACAGCCTGAGCAGCAGAGGCTGCAAGCAAGAGCATGACTCTACCTCACAGTCCAAAACCTTAATTCAAATCTACTTTCATGAACGGTTTAAGCAAGTACGTCAGGAACTGCACCGAAACATCTGCAGAGCAGACACACACCACCTTCAGTTCTGCTAGAGAGGAGAGTAGTCTCCAACAGGGAGCTTGTCAGATAACTGAGAGCAGTACCACAACTAAATCCAGCAGTGGGTCCACCAGTGTGAAGGATATAGTATATTGGTAGAGAACACAAGCATGGTTACATGAAAAATGGAAGCTGAAGGCACAGAAATACTCCTCTAGCTATCACTTCTGGTGTATCTCCAAATTGTGATAATTACTTTGTCTGTATTTTTAGTTCTTGACAATCCAAAATATCCACATGGTGATGGGAGATGTGTTGCTGCAATCTCCTTCACCTCTAAAGACTCAGCATTGCCTCCATTATCCATTTACAGGCTATCTTTGTAGGATCAGTTTAAATGTAATGGTGATTTCACTCTCATGTACCTTTAAGTCAGCCAACTTAGAATGTAGGTATTTAGTAGAAGGCTGAGAACTTGTAAACTGGTGTTAGCTTCTGATTTATTTGAAGTAACATTAGTTTTTATTTGTGGTTTCTGTGTGAAGGAGTGGTATTACTGTTGACCTTTCTCTGTTTCCCTTCCAGGCAAATGGAATATATACAATAGCAAAGCTGATTTTACCAAACAAAGAAAGTTGTGCTGAGAAAGCTAATTTATTACAGGTACCTTCCTTTATTATCATTGCATAATGGAAGCCCAAAACAGTTCCTGAGATTTTTTTATGATTTTAAATTTTATTTTAAAGTGCAATAAGTTACTCACTCGGATGAGGGGAGGGGGAAGCCAGGAATAACAGATGGCCCACTAACTAAAAGTTAAATTGTGACTCAGTTTCTGGTGTTCTGTTCTAATCTACTTAGTTTCTGGCACTTCGTATAGCATAAAGGAAAGTGAGTATTTTTCATGTGATAATTTCTCCCTCAGTTTTTCACGCTTTTTTGTGTCTTGGTTTTCACTGAAACTTACTAAAGGTTTCATGCTATATTCATATCTCTGTTTCTTTCTGTGGCTGCTAAATAAAATACAGGAAAACATCACGTGAAGTAGAGCAAATTTAAATGTAGAGCAAAGAAGTGTAGAATGGCTTGAGTTTTTGCATGTCCTTGCCACCATAAATGTACTGCTTTGAGTCAACTTAGGATGGAAGGTATCAATATTTATGAATTATCTGGTAGCTCTTCTCCAGCCTCTTTGAAATAGCATTAGCATCCCACTAAGCTCTCAGGAAGTAGTGACCTGTGGTTCAAGGACGTCTGACACAGCTGCTGCCCTGGTTGCCCCTCTATGAGTAAGCCAAAGGCCCTTATCACAGATGAGTGTGGTCAGCCACGTGCTGCTGCCTCTCACAGGTTGTTGTTCTGACATAGCACTACACTAAGCTGGTTACATAGTTACTCAGCTATCTAGCCAGGTAGACATGCCCTGGGTAGGGATGGAAAGCGTTCCCACAAAAGTGTTTGTTGTAGTGCCATCTTTCCCATAGCAATTCCTCTAGATCAGGCTTGGTGAGCAGGTTCAGTGTAGTAGGTGCCTTTTTTCTGCAACTAGATTTTTCATAGCACTTCAGTTAAATCAGTTTAGAACTCTTTGTAACATTATTTTGGGGGAAACTGGAAGGGCGGGATAAATAAATATCTTCTTAGAGGGTATATGAAACTAATGTGCAGTTTAGTAAACTGGAGCATATGCTTAATGCAGTTGCCTCATACTTATATAATTATAAGGAGCTTAATTTATGCCAACCTAGATTTTTAGATTTCAGCAGTATATGATAGGAAGTAACTTGCAACAGGTAGTAAGCACCTGCATTTGGGTTAACTGTGAAGCTATGTGAACTCATAATGGACTTAATGGTGACATATAAAAACTAAATCCTGTTCAGGCAAACCGTAAGAAATACATCTTTTATTCAGCCTTTCACACTGCTGTCTGTACTTTATGAATTTCATAGGCATTTTTCTTATGGGCATTTTTGGCCCAGTTTCTTTACTGCTCCATTGTCTGTGTTTTCGACAATTAAACATTCAGTTTCTCTCTACCATACTACCTTAGTGTTCTTGCTCCATTACTTCCAGTGTGGCTGTGATATCAGTTACTTGCTCTGTGTATATACCATATATAAGTATCATCGTGCCTTAATGGAAGCGTATCACAGGTGTTAATATTTAATATCACAATGCTAGTGTGTGAGAGACAAATATTCTTCTTTAAGATAGTCATTTGTCTCATTGTTAATGTATTATCATGTTGTCCGTTCACGGACGGGCTCCTACGTTAAAAACTATGTACAGTCTCTAAAGAGAAAAAACTTTCAAGGTAACAACTATGGCCAAACCTGACCAGGTTATTCTGTACAGCTAAGTTGTTGTGACTGTGATTCTCAAAGAAATGTTAAACAAAGAAGCACACCTTGCTTCTCCTTTGTTGGGGTGTTTATTTTGGACTAAAAAGAACATTGTTCTGTAAAGGGTAGCTTCTTGTCAGCATTAACAATCCATTCCTTTCCTGTAGCATTTCAAGTATTCCCCGTTTCCTTCAGAGATAGTCTTTGACCTTGATTTTCTTCATTTAATGCATTTACCTCATGTTGAAAAAGATATTTTTGACATAGGGACCAATTCTGCATTTATTACTAGATCACAGTTATGGTTGTCTAAATAAGGATTTTTCGAGCTGGACTGTGATAGTATTTTAGTCACTGATATAATAAAGTAGAGTTAAATAATGTTAAAGGCACTTACTATTTATACTGTTTCAGGTATCAGTAGCTTATTTCTTTTTGACTTGCTTCATACTGTCATCTTTGTTTGGTCAGTCATATGGTATAGTAGGTTAAGTAAATGACTCTTCGTAGAGAGCATTCAAGAAGAGTTACATAAAAGCATACATATTAACTAACTTCTGGTGGCTATTTTAAAATTAAGTTTTCTTCAATAGTGGTCATATAGAAACTGAGGTATATTTCAGTAAACTAGATGAACTTTGTGTGACTGAGATAACAAAAAAAAAAAAAAATAAACCCAGGTCAGTGGAACATTCTTTCTCCAACTTTTTTCCTGTCCTTTCCTGTTTTTTTTTTTTTTAAATTATTTTCCCCTGTTGGAACTTTCAGTGCTCTACACTTTATTTTTCACAAGAAAAAAAGCCAAAATGCAGTTTCTGCTGCGTCATTACAAATCCAGTGGTTACACTTACCAGTATTTCAGTATTGGAAAACCTAACTTTCTGCAAGTGAAAAGAGACAATTAAGACTTAAATGTTCCTCAGCATCTAGCAGTATACTACAGCTATAGTCACCCGCGTTCTTTTTTCCAAGTGGGCCTGCCTAGTTTTGAAATACAGCAGGCGCTTAAGCAAATCACATGTAATCAAAGTATAGAATCATATTTTTTTACTTTCTTGAGATTAATTACCAGTTTAATAAGGTAATCTACTGACTCATTTAAATACAAAGATTACAGATGTGTTGGGAACCCCTGATTGTTTATCAGCAGCTTTTTCATTTGTATATAAATTTGTCATTAATGTGAATTTTTCCCTACTGTAGTGCTATGCTTTCAGAGCCTTGAGATTCCTTTTCAGTATGGAAAGAAATAGACATCTCTTTAGAAGGTATGTTAAAAAATGTTTTCTGAAACTCCCTTAGGATGGCTTACAAATCATCATTCCAGTCAGAAAAATATGTTTTTTAAATGTCATCATTTATTTTCAGCAGAAAGAATAAGTAACAGGTAACTTCCATCCTGTTGACATTCAATGGTAGCCCTTCCTACACTGCCTCAGTGCCAGTCTACAAAATTTAGACATTCAGTTTGGGGACTTCTGTTGCATATGTGCCAGAAAACCTAGGACTTCAGTGGCTCCTTCCTGCCCCATGAATCAGGGTTTAAAATGTCTTGAGGGAAGATTTAGAACAGTTAGTGATAAAACCTACTTTTATCCTAAAGATTAGTAAAACAAGTACCAGGTGTGAGTTACAGGCTTGGATCTAGCAAATAGCTGGGAGCAGTAAGTTTTTTCTCTACTCACTCCTCCACTCCTTCACATAGGAGTGACTGTGTATCAAGCAGAGATACTTAGGAGTATTCCTGAAAGGTTGGGATCAATAAGGAAAAAATATCTTTCAGCAGTTACCCATTTTTACTAGAATGATGACAGAGTTTTACCAGATAGAATACAAAGGCTGTGTATAACCTTGTACTTTCATTTGTGGGATTAGGATAACAATTGTACTGCTTGTGGATTCTGACTGTTAGTACTGTTTCTCTAATGATTTATTCTGCATCATAAATTGCTAGAATTCCAAATCACAGAATGGTTGAGGTTGGAAGGGACCTCTGGAGATCCTCTAGTCCAACCTCCCTGCTCAAGCAGGGACCTCTAGAGCACATTGCCCAGGATCACATCCAGACGCCTTTTGAATATCTCCAGCGAAGGAGACTCCACTACCTCTCTAGGCAACCTGTTCCAGTGCTCTGTCACCCTCACAGCAAAGAAGTTTTTCCTCAGCTTCAGATGGAACTTCCTGTGCTTCATTTTGTGCCCGTTGCCTCTTGTCCTGTCGCTGGGCACCACAGAGAAGAGTTTGGCCCTATCCTCTTGACACCCTCCCTTCAGATAATTGTACACATTGATCAGATCCCCTCTCAGTCTTCTCCAGGCTGAACAGGCCCAGCTCTCTCAGCCTTTCTTCAGAGGAGAGTCCCCTGATCATCTTGGTAGCCCTCTGCTGCACTCTCTCCAGGAGTGTCATGCCTCTCTAGTACTGGGGAGCCCAGAACTGGACGCAGTACTCCAGGGGAGGCCTCAGCAGGGCTGAGGAGAGGGGCAGGATCATCTTCCTCGACCTGCTGGCAACACTCTTCCTGATGCACCCCAGGAGACCATTGGCCTTCTTGGCCGCAAGGGCAACATTGCTGGCTCAGGGGAGAATAACTTATAAGAAAGTTAGGGGGAAAGATGATAAAATCACAATACAGTTGGCTGCACAATTGACTGGAAAAATTGTACTCAACCTGATGGCTACTTTAACCCTTTGTTAAAATAAAAATAGGTGGCGAGCACAATTTTGGAGACTGTACAACCTCCCTGGTCAATCCATTCCAGTGCTCTGTCACCTTCACAGTGAAGAAGTTTTTTCTGAGGTTTAGGTGGAACTTCCTGTGTTTCAGTTTTTGCCCGTTGCCTCTTGTCCTGTTGCTGGGCACCACGGAGAAGAGACTGGCCTCATCCTCTTGACCACCCTCCCTTTAGATACTTATATACCCTGATTGGATGACCCCTGAGCCTTCTCTTCTCCGGGCTGAACAGGCCCCGCTCTCGCAGCCTTTCTTCAGAGGAGAGATGCTCCAGTCCCCTCATCATCTTGGTAGCCCTCCGCTGGACTCTCTCCAGTAGTGCCATGTCCCTCTTGTACTGGGGAGCCCAGAATTGGACACGGTACTCCAGGTGAGGCCTCCCCAGGGCTGAGGAGAGGGGCAGGATCACCTCCCTCCACCTGCTGGCAACACTCTGCCTCATGCACCCCAGGAGACCATTGGCCTTCTTGGCCACAAGGGCACACTGCTGGCTCATGGTCAACTTGTTGTCCACCAGCACTCCCAGGTCCTTCTCGGCAGAGCTGCTTTCCAGCAGGTCAACCCCCAGCCTGTACTGGTGCCTGGGGTTATTCCTCCCCAGGTGCAGGACCCTGCACTTGCCTTTGTGGAACTTCAGGAGGTTCCTCACCGCCCAGCTCTCCAGCCTGTCCAGGTCCCTCGGAATGGCAGCACAGTCTTCTGGTGTGTCAGCCACTCCCCCCAGTTTAGTATAGTCATCGGCAAACTTGCAGAGGGTGCACTCTGTGCCTTCCTCCAGGTCATTGATGAATATATTGAACAAGACTAGACCCAGGACTGACCCCTGGGGGACACTGCTAGCTACAGGCCTCCAACTGGACTCTGCACCACTGACCACAACCCTCTGAGCTCTGCCATCTAGCCAGTTCTCAACCCACCTCACCGTCCACTCATCCAACCCACACCTCCTGAGCTTGCTTATGAGGACAACGTCCCCTGCTCTCCCCTCATCTACCCAGCCGGTTGTCCTATTGTAGAAGGCTATCAGATTTTGTTAGGCATGATTTCCCTTTGGTGAATCCATGCTGACTACTCCTGATCATCATCTTGTCCTCCACATGCTTAGTGATGGCCTCCGGGATGAGCTGTTCCGTCACCTTTCCAGGGATGGAGGCGAGGCTGACAGGCCTGTAGTTTCCTGGCTCCTCTTCCTTGCCCATTTTAGTCTTTTGTCTTACTTCTACTTTAAAAAAAAGTGGAATTGGTAAACTTTTTCTACTGGAAGGGCCTCAGCGTTTAACAAGTGTTTGGGGCTGGGATCAAGCTTTAAAATCTGAATGGGCTGCTTTGCTGTTTTTCATTTTTCTCCAACTGCCTTACTTTTCAGTATTTCCAATCCTACCATAACTTTAAAAAGAAAGAAACAAACCTCCAGTTAAGCTAATCACTAACCAAATACTATGTCTTTTCGGTGTTATGTATGTGGTCTTTCTACTGCCCTCAGTCCTTTTCATATCTTTTAGGGTAAAAACCTTCTGGGACAAAAATTTTAAGATGAGTGTCATAATTCTTTGAATGCAGATAGGTACTAACCATATCAGTTAATACAAGAAGGATCTTGGATAAAATGCTTATAAGCACAGAATAAAATACAACAGGGAAAAAAAATGAAAATAACTTAAAGCTCAATATAAAATACTGTAGGATATCCTTATATTCAGGAGATCCATAGACTTTAAAGAGGCTAGCCCTCATTTGGACAACTGGCAACCCAATGCGCTGAGGCTGAATTCTAACTTTTGAAAGGTTCTTTAATTCCCATGTGTGAAGTATAGTGCTAGAGAGTTAACATCTGAATCAATTAGTCAAAAATAAGTGTGTTATTTAGAAGGTTGTAAAGTAAGAAATAATAAATAAACATTGAAAGGTCTCTGCTGTAGATTAATAGCTTTTGTGAATACTGTTTCTAAAATATATCAAAATGTTAAATCTTTGTAGACTTTTCCCTACTGACTTATTTGAAGTCTTCATTGATATTGGACATTATGTTCGTGATATCAGTGCTTATGAAGAGCTAGTATCAAAGCTAAATTTATTAAAGGTAAGTAAAAAGTTTCATAGAGCTAAGCAAATGTATTCTTAGCCATTCTTAGTACAGGAAATGCATAAAATATTTTATATTTATAGTTGTCATTTAATTTGTAACCAGGATGATGAACTGAAGCAAATTGCTGAAAGCATTGAGAACATCAATCAGAATAAGGCACCTACAAAACATATAGGCAGTTATGCAATTTTAGAACACCTTGGCAGTGGAGCTTTTGGAAGTGTATATAAGGTAAACTTGCCTTTTGATGTTAACTACAAGTTTGGGGGGAAGCTTCACAAACAGGATCTGATGCCTATTTTAAGTACTAACTAGCTTCCTTTGAGCTTCATCAAGGGAATGCAGGTGCTGAAAAGCTTTTTTTGGATCTGGGTTTGTTGCTTGCAGTTCTGCATTTCTGTTCTCGTAGCATTTACTGTGATTTTTGACATATCTGTATGAGTGAAATTGACCAGTGTCTCTCTTATGTTTACTTTTAGTAACTTGCAGTAGACAGGACTGCTGTTTGTAGAAAGTCTAACAAATCTCTGTAAAACCACAGAAGTTCAAACATGTTTTATCTGCAAACCAGCACTGGAGGCTGATAATGTTCCTTAATACACTGCAGCAAGTGCAGCAGGATACTGCTAACTACATTGTGGGGCTCTAGTTCTTGTGGTAATCACATCATACACATAGGAAAAAAACTATTTTAATTTTTGTGAGACAAGTTTGGACTCAGATAACTAATCTGCTAGCCATAATAATATCCTTTCTGCCTGCATCCTATATTAATTTTACAGGGTTTTTATCCTCTGCTTAGGTTAGAAAACATAGTGGACAAAATCTTCTAGCAATGAAAGAAGTCAATTTACACAATCCAGCATTTGGAAAGGACAAAAAAGACAGAGACAGTAATGTAAAGAACATCGTTTCTGAACTAACCATCATTAAAGAGCAGGTATGTCCCATGGACTTCAGTTTTGTACGTGGGCATTCTCTTGTTAGTGTTGTTGTTGATGAGCTCTTATATAACAGGACTTCCAGCTCCTGTTAAGTGTTTTTGTCTGATCAGTACAATATTGGTCCTTTGTGCCTGAAAGCTGTCAATATTGCATAAATTCTTGCTGTGATATTAGCAGCAGTGCACATACTTGTTACTGAAGCTATTGACGTTTTCTACTGGAAGTATGCAAGCTTTCTTTTAAGAGTTCAGTAAATTAAGATAGCAATAGAAAACTATTGAGTCTTTGTTCCAATAATTTATTCCTGGGTTTAAAATTCAGTGAGAAAATAGTCATTGCTATAACTGGAAATCTGTTAAAAAGACCGATCAGATTTAGGGTTTGTAGGCTGTGAAAACCGATACTTTCATGCAGGCGTAACTGCCCGTCTTCAGACTCTGTTCTGGTTATTAAGAGGAAAGTGGACAGCAACCATGCTCTTTTTTCTTCTGCTTGCTCTAGTAATTTGCAACATGTCTTTGTTTCTGGGGTAGCAGGAAACACTGCTATCGCACTGCAGTTCATAGGCAATTTTGTGGAATTCTGGTTGCCTGTGTGCTGTGCAAACAGGATGAAGAAATCCCATTGGTACCCAATAGTATGCATGTTTAATGGGAGGGCACAGTGCAGTTTTAAATGCTGCAAAAATGGAAATAGTGTTCAGTGTTTTGAGCTTCTGCTTTTGGTTGGAATTCAAAGCAGTATTAAGAAATCTAAAAAAATTTTGTTTCATCATCACTATTTTCTTCCTTCCAATGCGTATCTAAACACTATAAATATTGGGCCATCAGTCTAACTATTCTAAACAGCTAAATTTGTTTCTTCGTTGTAGCTTTATCATCCAAATATTGTACGCTATCATAGAACCTTCTTGGAAAGTAAGTATAAATGTAGAGAACTACAACGTTGTACCTAGTGAAGAAACAGAAATATATAAAATAAAAGTACTTAAAACTGGGAAGGAGTGTATCTAATTTGAGCAATAGATGCTGATATGTTCTTAGAGAACTATTACAGTTTAGACATGTTTATATTGCTTTAAAACTGAAAAAAATAAAAGAGAAATACTGATATCTCTGTATCAGTAAAACTAGATGCAAAAATGTAGCAAGTGTGGTCCTCATCCTGTAGAGTTAAGGATCCAAAATTCACAATTGGAAAGTTGAGCAGGCTGGTAGACTGAATGATATAGGTTGCTCAGCCATGTTTTAAAAAGTGTAAGCTACCTACACCTGCCTGTTAAGTAGTTATGAGGCAGTTGCCATGGTAGAAATGGGTATTGGGGAAAAACTGGAATAACAAAGAGTGGAACTATGATTAAAATGTATTTGCATGTACAAATAAATTTAAAAACAAGTTAAAAATGCAGTTGTTATATATTTAATCTCAAATATTCTATTTTCAAACACTTTCTGTATAAATATATTTTTACTGTAACTTCATTTTCTTTTATGTAGATGACAGGTTGTACATAGTCATGGAGCTCATAGAGGGGGTGCCACTGGAAGAACACTTTCATTCTTTGAAGGAAAAGCAACAGCAGTTTACAGAAGAAAGAATATGGAATATATTTATCCAAGTAAGGGTCTGTGCTTTTTTTCATTGAGACTTTCCTGCATGTAATTAGTAGCACCATTTATGTTTGTCAGGCTAATAATAAATGACAAAGTAATGCTTATTATGTCACTAAATTTTATTTGCCTTTATTTAGGTTGCAGTAACGAATCTTTTAAGGCTCTCTTTTTTGTTTTGTTTTTAAGCTCTGCCTAGCTCTTCGTTATTTGCATAAAGAGAAAAGGATTGTTCATCGAGATCTCACTCCAAACAATATCATGCTGGGGGATAAAGATAAAGTTAAAATTAGTAAGTAGAACTTCTTTACTTGGAGAAAATTACCCATTATGTAACTGAGAAGAACTTCTCTACTGTAACTTGCAGAAGGTTTCAGACTCCCATGCGTTGGCCATCACGCTTGGAAGCTAGTGAATTGTTTCATGATTATGCTGTTCTGTAAAGCAATTGTTAATGCAGATTTAGTGATCATTGCCACTAAGTGTCATCATCCGTGACTATAGTTCTAGCAGCTAAGGATGTCAAATATGACGGAAGATATGGTTTAGCTCTAAAAGAAATTAAGCTGTAGCAATGCTTCAGGGCCTGCTTGTATTTGAATCACCAAGAATATTGAGATAACTAGAGTAGGTACCATGTCTAATCAAATGCTAATAAGCATACAACGTGAAACAAAATAAACAATTTGAGCATTGCAGCCTCTCATCTTTAAAAACAGAAGGGAGATGTAGACATATACACTCTCCCAACCACAAAGCACTCGGTTATAATAGGCCAATTTGTCTGGCAGCTGTCATTTTAGACTGATGATATACAGATTTAAATTAATTCATTATTAAATCATATGAGCTAAAAAGTTCTGATTCATAACAATAATATAGTTTTGAAAAAATGATGATTTAATGGAGCATTTGTCCCTGAATGGTAAAAATTAATACTCAGAATGTTATTTTACGTTATTTTATGTTGTATTTTATACCAACATACTGCCACTGAGGGGCAGTCTTGTCTTGATTTAGCACCTTTACCTTACCTCTTGTCCAATTTATTTATCTAAATTGTCATTGAAAAGGATAATATTTCTGTCAAAGATTTGCAGATGTTGAGGAGAATTGGAAGAACTGAAACTTACTTTGACCATTTCTACAGTGATTGGTTAGAAGCTATTGTGATAGTTCAACAGATAATTATTTTGTGTAGTGCTTTAATTAGTACTAGCATAGCAAAATATAAGGAATTTTCAGAGGGGGTTAAAGACCTTTTATCTATTACTTCCGAATTTAACTGAGCCTTGTTGTTTTACAGCCTTATTGAAAGTAAGAATAATTTCTGTTCTTTCTAATTGTAGTTAATATGTACTGTGTTGAGGCATGCCGTAGTATCATGCCTAATTCACACAATCAATCCACATCAAAGATTGGGTTATTTACAGTGTTGAGAATTAGATCTCACAGTATTTAAGGAGAGGGTTGACAAATCATTGATCATTTGACAAATTCAAGGGGTTCCAGATGAAGTTTTGTATAAAAGGAGGTGAGGGCATACGCCCAAATATTAAGAAATCTCAAATCTTGGCTCTGTAGTGAATTTAACCTTTTGGGTTTTATGAAATAGAAGGTTCTACTCCACAAATCTACTTGGAACTGTAGTTCTGTGTACAGTCACCCTAAAGAGAGATATTTTAATTTTCTGGAGTCTTTCAAATCACAAAATGGTGCACAAATTATTGCTAACTGGAGTAACATTTTTGTGGGGGTACCAGTGAAGCAGTGTTGTGTGACTCTGTAACAAGAAATGACCTCTGCTGGCACAAATTATTTTGCTTCGGAGGAAAAAAAGCTCACAAGTTTGTATGAGTATAACGCTCTTCTTTTTTTTTTCTCTTCCTCAGTCGGTCCTTCTGGAAATAGTACTCTTGTTAACCTTTTGTTGGGAGAATCTGCAGGTTGGCAATATAACAGTCAGCTTATTCCTCTCTAACTAAAATTCTTCAAATATGTTGTTTTTATAGAACTGCAATGGCTCTGGAATGGCCCAGGTTTTGGACTCTCATTGTAGACTTTTGACTTTGAAAAAAAAAAAAAAAAAAAAAAAAAGAAAAAGAGAGGAATAAATTTGAGCAAAGTGCTTCCATAGACTTTCATTCTGTATTGCGCATGGCTATGCAGCAGCCCCAACAATGAATTGCTTTAGGTGCTGGGACCCTCAGATAACTATTTCTCACCGTATATGTGGAAAGAACTGAGCCGCTTGTGTTCCAAATCTTATAAAGGTTTCTCATTAAGATTCTGAGTTTATATTTTTTGAAGGGGAAAGGAGTGTTTAGTAGGGGAGACATTCCTACCTTGCTGTTAGCACAGGGGGAAAAAAAAAAAAAAGACCTGCTGCAGAACTGTGCTTAGGCATCCTGAAGATATGGAGAAATTGCTATATACAGGAGGCCCTTGTAGGGCAATTTCAGGAGAACTTTATAGGCAGGGACCTAACGTGGAAGCTAGCTGAGAACAAGAATTCATACAGATGGATAACTCTGTGTCCAGCCTGGCACAACATAAAAGAAATCTATGAGGAACATTTTGTGGAGAAGGTCTCTGAATATGCCTGTTATGGCTTTTACTGGAAAAAGAATGCCTGAGGTAATAGTAGGAAGAAATTTTGAATCTGTGTATTCACAGTTTTTTTATTTGAATGTGATTGGACACTGTTCTTATTGAGGTCTTTGTCTATTTTTTTTAAACTTATGGAAGATTCAAAGAGAAGTCCTAAGCCCATTGACCAGCTTTGTTTTCATGTGTCAAATATTTAACTTTCACCGCGTTTCCCATGATATCTTTTACCTGTGGCAATTCAGTCTGCCTTATTCCAATCTTTCAGGCTCCTGTAAGTCAATTGTTGTTGAAAAGGAAAGCAGACATTTGCAGTCTGACCCTAGCTAGATTAATAGTGATATAAGGTCTCTGTTTCTGACTGTAGAGAACTGTAAGCATCCTGTTGTTATGTAGTCTCTGCAACTCCCCAGCCCACTCACTTGTTTTGTTTTATTTCTGACAAATTTGATAGTGAGGGGACCAGAACTGCCATCTCTTATATGCCGGTACAGCATTTAGTCACAACTGGTTGGCCTACGAATACTACCCAAATAAGAATAAAAATAAGAATCATGCTAACCTGTAATTTCATAAAACATCTCATTCTAAATTAGTGGAAAAGTGTTACTGAAATTATCTCTGGTCAGCTTGAATATGTGATTTGTAATTTCTGATAAACAATAGTTACAGTAGAATTTTAGGCACAGCCTAAACAGTAGTTGTTTTGTGTAGGGTTTTAGAGATTCTTTGACTCTCATATGATCTGTGGCACTCAGTTTAATCTGCCCAGCTCTTTATATAAGACATTGAGAAGTAATAATTTTCTGAATTTAAAATGTGTATCTGTTTTTAGCGCAGCTATATCTTACCACAGCTATATTTTGTTTCTAGCACAGCATACTTTTGTCTAAAGTTCTATAGCTGCATCTGTTTGCAGGGCAAACCAGAAGACTCTGTACACCATCTTTCCTCAGTGTCATCTAGTTTCAGCAAGATTTAGGTGTTGATGGTCAAAGAGGGCTGTGTGGAATTGCTTTGAGACCTTTCAGATGTGATACCAAGCAAATTTGTGAAGGGTTCCGTATGCTCTTACAGATGGCATGCTTTGTTTACCCTTTAGTGCACATGATGCACTAGCAGATGGGATGTATATGTAAATGAAACTTAGGATTATTATATAGCAGCAGAATGCTGATTATGGGACAAATCACCTCTCTGATATGCTTCTAATCATAGCAGGCAGTCACAAAGTGTCAGCATGGTAAAGCAAATGCGACTTGAAAGTTCAGGTAGTTGGCAGATACTGAAAGAAAGCTACATGTTAATTCTGTAATTTAGAGTACTTGGTTGTTGAGTACACTTTTTAAAAGACTTGTTGCCTCCTTATTCTGTGCCCTGCCCAGAGAAGGGGTGACCATGAAATCTAGTGATGTAACTAGTGTCTGTTGTATATTAGTCACTACTTTGCGGTGTTGCTTAGAAAAATGCTAATTTTTTCAGGTCATATAAACAGTCTTCGGTATCAGGATCACTACCCTTGATACAAAGATTCAAGGAAATGCTCATTATACTTGATTTTCAAAACTTTCACAAGAGGCTGAGTGGAATTTTCCATCCTTTTGTTTAAGCTCATACCCTAAATCAAACATTCTGGACACTATTGATAGCTCAACTGCACAATCATGTCTCTCTCCACAAATTGCAGTTCTAAATGTGGAACAATGCTAATGTTCCTAGCGCAAATTTTGCAAGCTTCACAAAACTGACAAATTTTATAGTGAAGTTTAAGAAGCATTGATATTAGCACCCTGAAAGGAAAATGATAGATTGGCTAGGAAGGTATATTTGGGAATGATGAAAAATGGATTCTTTTCCTGTTCTGTTGATAGAAAAAAATAGAATAAGTATATGCAGCTGTTGATTAAATTTACGGATAAGCTGGAGTTTCGGATATGCGTTTAGGGGTAATAAAATCTTTTATCTTTCTTTCCCAGGTGGTTGTAACACAGCAGCTTAAATTTGAAGTAGTTGTACTTAGCTGTTTACAGGGTCTACTCTTGCCAGTAATTTCTATTAAGCATAGGACATACTAATGTGATGAGTCCCACTGAAATTAATGGTACTATTCATGCTAGCAAGCACTAATCTTGATAAAATTTCATAGGACTGGAATAATCATAAATATGATGATGGCGGCTTAAGAGTAATTGAAAATGGCTAGTAATATAAGAATAGATCAATACACTAATAATAAAACTTTTAATACACTCTCAATTAGTCCATAACCTGTACCTTTCTACAGATTTCTAGAAATGCTTATTCTTTATTTTATGTCAAACAAGAAAACATTATTAGCAGTAGTATTTCTGCAACACTCAAAAACATCAAATACCTAATCCCATTCAGTTAGTTGCTGATAAACTTTCTTGATTATAGTTGCAAACCTACTGAAAAGAAGCAAAGCACACCTGTCTCATTCTGAGGCTTTCAGGGTAAAAGAAGAAATTGTTTGATGGGGACATGGTTAAAATCTGACCCAAATAGGTCTGAAGATGTAATGAATTTGATTTTCCTTGAATCCTTTTTTTGGATTCGCTTTTGGTCTTTGTGGGCATAGTTGATTTTTATGAAAAATTAATGATGCTTCCAAATATGGTTCAAATCTAAATTAAGACAACAAATGTGCAATTATGCTGTTAGTATTGCTAAGATGCAGCATCTGGAAACATAATTTTCCTCTTGTCTTTACTCCAAAAGATCAATCTAGTAGGTGAAACCTTCAGGTAATAAAACAGCAAATGAAAAACAAATTCAGTCAATTAAAAAAAAATTACATGTAACCAAAATGCTCATTTAGAGACTACTAAGAGTTAGAATGTTTTGTTTTTCAGCTATTATGAAAGTTGAAGAGATTATTCTGTAAGAGAGTAAGCTATTAGTCAAGGTACCCTACTCATTTTTTCCATCATTTTCTCTCCCCTTCATGACCTCTTCCCAAGGATTTTTTTTTTCTGAAACAATCTTATTTGGAAGACTTCATTATCACTTACTCTGCTAATCACAATGTAAACAAGTGAAAAAGGTTGTTTCAGAATCTAAAGGATTGTGACTGCATGTTTTTGTGTTAATTTTTCTTTCTATTTGATGACTCTCCATTGCATGGTTGCTTGGCTATTTTAATGAATTAAAAAATTAAAATAGCACTTAGTTTTCTCAGTTCCTGATATACGCGATAATAAAGGAAAAAATAAAAACAAGGCCTAATGTTTAGAGTCACAGTATAAAATCTAGTTAAATATAATAATGCCTTGAAGGAGAAATGACTATTTTGGTAAGTCATTACTAGTGACGTTGCATGTCTAATCACAGTATTTAAAACCCATCTAATGTTGAAAGCTTATTCTTTTTTTTTTGTTGTTGTTGTCTGTCTGAATGGACTTGAAAATAATCTCAATTTTTCAGTGAAGTATTTCATGCTTCCAAACATTAAAGAAATTGCCTGTAAAGAAATTGCACCGATTCAGGCTATGTGGTACGCAAAGCATGAAAACTTACTATAGAAATTCGTTTTATAAACTTGATTGCTAGATTGACGTACCTACTGTTCCACTCAGCTTACAACTTTTCACATATTAGGATGGTACAATAAGTTGTAATGCATGTAACTCGCATGTTCTGGAAAGATTCAAAGTAGTATTTAAAAGCAGAAAAATTATCAGTTTTCCAAAATGACATTTGAAGATTAAGCAACCATCATCTTGCAGAAATAGACAGTTGCTCCTATGCGAACAGGTAGGTGGATCTTTCCATTGGTGGCGTTAAAGATCCAAGATTACTTCCTCATCGGAATAGTTCATTTTTTTTCCTTCAGCTATACCATTGTTTGTTTTATTTTTGATTTAAAAAGAATAATTTTTCCTTTTCAGGAAGGTGGAACAATATAAAAGTCAAAATGAGGGGTTTTCTTGTTTTCTCTAGGGATGAGGGAATTGCGTCTCTAATGCCAATTGTATTCCTGCATTGCAAGACTACAGGAGGCAAGAAGAGTCCTCTGAATTGGTAGACAGTTTAGTGATTTAGAGAAAAAACTAACCTAGCAAAAGGGAGAAAGCTTTAACTGAGACATAAATGCCAGTCTGTCTGCATTCCAGAGGCAGTGCAGGAGAGAGGGAGGACTGCCTTTTTTGGTGGCAGAGATCTAGTAGCTCATCTTTCTCACAAAACCTCACGCTGAATCACTAAGATGGGTTTATAATTCCCTTTTGGATGAACTGGTGCAGCATGCACTCCTGTATCCTGATGCTGGCAGTGGCTGGACAGCCTTCCTGCCTTCTCCCTCCCTCCTAGTTTGTCTTATCTCTTTGCCTTTGTTCTTGCTACCCTTTGTTTTGTTTCATATGATCTACTCGTTCACAAAGCTTTCACTAGCATTCTCAGTATGATTCTATGGGAGATTTTCTTTTCCATTTTTCTCTGATTGCATCTCTTTAGCCTACTAATATTTACCATTGTATTGTCAATGTTGATATAGTTCCTTTCAGCAAGTTCTCATGCTACTTTTGTTAACTGATAGGTTCTTTTTCAGTGTTAGTGGGAATGGAAGCTGTAGGAAAATATGTGGAAGCTTTAGGTTATGTATTTCATTCTGAGACTAGTGTGTTTTCTGATCAGATGCATCTCAAATATGTGTGAATTTTAGAGGGTAGGTCCAGCTTCTGAGGAAAACCTGTTCCTGTACTTAAGAGCTTTGTCTTAGCGCTTAATGTACCGCTGGATAAATTAACTGTAGTAAATCAAGATGGTTCAGGAAGAAAAATTTCTTTGATAAATAGGATTTTGAATATCAGGAGTGACCAATGAGATCGTAACATAAGAATCGCTAGGTCAGATCCAAGATTCAGGTAGCTCACTATACTTTCTGTGTGGTTACAGCTGACGCTTAAGTAAAATTCATAAGAAATTGAGCAAGTACAGAGTAATCTTACTCTCACAATTCCCTCCCAGCTTCTAAAATCAGGGGTCAAGAAGACATATTGCAGTGGTGTGAAGCTGCTTCAGGAAATTCCCAGATATGAATTGTCATAATCAGTCCTTGCCAATCAAGCCTCGGTTCACAGACAAAACAACAAATGCTGATTAACAGGGATCATCTTAACTACTTTGATCATATTTTCACTTAAGAGGATGGAAGGCAGACATCTGGCAGTTCTCAGAAATGATTTCATTTGTTTATCATCATAGCAACTTTTGGCATCAAATACCAAATGAGGAATCCTGGAGTCTTAAAAGTTATAGACCAACTTATAACCTGCAGAAGAACGCCTAAATAGAGTAAAAGAAGCAATTTCATTAGTCTCTACAGTTCAGTATTTGCCAGTTCCTCTTCATTCAGTTCTGTGTTACGAGGTTGAAAAAGCTAAGAAAAAGTGTTTTTTTTTAATATAAAGATGGTCATGACATGTTTTGTATTTCTTAGCAGATATATTTAGGAGCTTCTAGCTGGTGCCAAAACTGTTTAGCAGAATTTGGAAAAGATTACTCTCTCTATGAAACATGTCTTTTCCCTCGCTTCTGGGGACCTGAGCCTACAAGGAAGCGAAGATAATTAGCTAGACATCTTGCTAATTTTTCCTTACTTTCTTTTTTTCCAGATGAATAAGCACTAATGTGATGTTAAAGTTTTAAAGTTAACATTTCCTCCATCTCTAAATCTTTCAAGCCCCAGGAACTGAATTTCTATGGATTCTTAATGCTCTTTCTTCATAGAATGTTAGTTATGTGAAGAGTTCAAAAGGAAATAAGTTAGAATGATTCACTCAAATTAAGGAAAGTATCAACATTGCAAAAATCTCTGGTCCTATTGTGATTAATATCCTCTGGGGTGAACTGCCTGAGAAGTGTCTTACTCAAGGGCAAAAGGGAGACTTCTCACTCATCCTGTTTGTTTAGCATTCTTTCTACCTATGTTTTCCAAGCACTACAGCACTACAAAGACGGACTGCAGTCCTTCTTTGAATATCTTATTTGAATATCCAGTCTTTCTTTTGAAAGAAAAATGATCTGTGGTCAGGGAACCTACATTTGGCCTTCCTATCAAAAACCTTTTCTGAATAAGAGACCTACTCCTTTTCAGACCCTTGAGCCTCACACTGAGCAGGAGCCAACAGAAACTAATTTTTCTTGCCTGTTTCTTTGGATCCGCAGCTTTTCTTTGATGAGTAGAAACATTTTGAACTAAACTTTGTTCAATCTCTTATTATCTCATTGTAAAAACAATTGGGATAAGAATGCTGTAATACTTGTCTAGCAGTACTTAAGATACTCTCTGGATCCACACAGAACATGAGTCTTGAAATATTTTAAATAATGTTATTTACCACTCAGATCTTACCACTTCTAAAATAGTATTACAATGCAACATTTTATTAGCAGACCTTTAACTGAGTACAATGATTTTTCTCTTGCTCTCTGCTTTTAGATTTAGTGAAGTGCAACATGTCTTAGTGCACTGTTGCATTGAGACAGCAGTGCAGTATTGATCTGTGGAACCTGGAATTCCTTTCATGAAAGCTAGATGTAAAAAAATATGGTCTCTAAACATGTATGTGGCTTAGTTATATGAAAGGCGTGCGAAAATGTGTCATTGCACAAAAGGCAGTTATATTAACATAATTGCATGATAGTCTGAATTTACAGCTTTTGTCATAAGGTAAGACTAAGATTCTCCATTATTTCTTAACAAATGTAATCTTTTAAAGAGAACTTTTCAGATACTAGACCTCCCATTCTCCTCCCAACCAAATTTCTGAAAAGTCCATCTTTCCCGGCTATTTATCCTAGTTTGAAATAAAGCCACATAATTACTTCTATCATTACTTTTTAAAAAATTATGTTTTTCCATTAAGGCATTAGATCACTACTTATAAATACTTACTACTGTCATGCAGTTGATTGGGAAATATTAATACAAATCTGAAATTGATCATATAGTTTGGATTAAAAGCATCAGATGTGTGCTCATAATATTTTTAAGTCTGGTAGGCCTAATTAAAACATATGTCATTGCTTAATATGGAGGTAGGCAGATAGGCATTACTGCAAAATGTAAAAGTTGTTTTTTTTTTTTAAGTGCTTTTCAGCTGTTGTGAACCTGCATTAATTTTCAGTTACTTAATTGTCAAGGCAGTTATTGACCTATCAATGTTTTTTTCTTTCTTTCTTTCTCTCTTTTTTGTAGCTGACTTTGGTCTCGCAAAGCAAAAGCAAGAAAACAGCAAACTCGCATCAGTTGTTGGAACCATTCTGTACTCCTGGTAAGAGTGAAATACAACATTTAAATGCACTGGCTTCCATCTTCATGGTTATTTTTCTTAGAACAGACAGACAAGTTATAATACAGTAAGGTGCAAGTTACATGCACCTACTCTGCAGTAGTTGCTTCTCTGCCTGTTCTGCATAGCCCCTTTTTTTTGCACATGGATAGTTACTGTGCAGTAGGTTGGTGCAAAAATGAAACCTCTCCTCTTCTGGAGTAAATTATTCATCTACCCATACCGTTAAAGATAAAGAAAAGCATTTTCAAGCTATAAAAAGATATATGAAAACAATATAATTGATTTTAATGTTTTTTAATTTAATTGTGGCTTAAGTGGTAAGTTATATATATGAGCAACTTACATTCTGAAAAATATTTGAGACTGGTGCTAGTGAATTTGTTTTAGATCGGGGAGCATTTGGTTTTAATGACTGAACTGGAAAAATATTTTCTGTTGTTTGAAATCTGCAAAGGTAGGATAGTATGACACACATTTTTTTGCAATTTAAGCTTAGTAAATGTATGAATGACAACTAAAATTTTGCCTTAGTTGATAACATTATTCAGTTTGCTAAAAGAGCTAAGCTTCCTTTGGCATCCCATTTGTGGGCAAGCTGAAATATTGAATTTCAGTACTAATACAGTTACCTAAGTTTCAAGAAGATTACTACAGGCTTGCATTTTGTTCTCTCAAGAGAGTGAAATAGAAAGCATTTCCTGTCCAAAAGGTTCACCTCAAAATGGAAACAGTGCATGTAATTATACATGTTAACATGTTATACATGTTCTTTCAAACAGAAGTAAATGTGGGTAGGATAGAACATTAAGACTTTTGTGTTTCGTGACATATAAATAACAACCGTGCTATTATTAGAGATTGCTGTACTGTGAACAAAAGTGGGCAAGTGTAATCTAGGTAAAAATATCAACTGTGGAAAGCACAAACCCAGTACTCATCCAATAGCAATTGATGTGTTCTAGGCTGATTTTCAAGGCTGTCATTTAAGTTGAGAATTTCTACTGATTAAAATACTAACAAAAGAAATTAATTAAGGAATTGTTAATCTGTGTCGCAGTTCTGGATCTCTGTGTTCTTGTGCAAAGCTACCGGTTAAGCTTTGCATACCCTCATTGTTGCTTTGTTAAAGCAATACACTTACAGTAACTTCAGCTGGAGCCATGCAGATCCAAACATTCCTCATTCCTGCACTGGCTTGTTCCAGCCTCTTTGCAATGTCATTTACATACAGCTCCTGTTCCTTCTCTTCAGACTCACTATGCTGGACATGATGCTCAGTGTCAAACTTTCTAAGGTCAGAAGTTGGCTTTCTTCTTTTAGGGACTTTCGGCTACTCTTGTTCCCACTGCTGTAAATTGCCACTTCCAGCTACTGTAAATAAAACACAGTTTATTTGACATATTTAAAAATAAAATTATGATGAACAACAGATAAACATACCACAAATGTTGCACAGTGTGCATTCTATAGTCTAATATTGTTTTCTGTTTTCATCAAAGTTTTTAATTTACAAAATATCTGTTAATACAGGAGAAAAACCTATCACAACATTATATCCTGAGTAAAGCTGGAAGTGATTTCATTCTGAATTTCTCCTGAGATCACCACATTGGCTGTGGCACTTGCAGCATCTTTCTCAGAAGTTGAAAAGCCTTTCTGATTTTAGCCATCTTCAGCTTTCCTTTTCTGCTGTGGTGACCACATGTGGTAGCTGTATACCTGCCAGAATTCCTAAGTTGGTGGATCAGGTCTGTGTTTGAAGTACTCTTCTTGAAGTGGTCTCTTCCCTGCATCTCCTTTGAGATTCTTGGCCTGCAGTTGTTAAAGGTTCAGAGCTATCAGTGGATCTACTAGTAGTTCTGCTGAATTACGAGAAAGAGTCAAGAATTCAGACCTTCAGCTATTGAATATAATTCATGTTGCTACTTTTGAAACTTTTACTTTAATTTCCTAGTGCCAGAATGATGATGATTTGGCACTTCTTCCCCAGAAAGCACTAAATCAAAAATGCCTTCAAGACAGTCCTTGTAATATGTTAAATGCTCAGATCCATACCTAGAAGACTAATGCTATGTTGCTTCATAGTGAGCAGAACTGAGGCAATTTCAATACTACACTGTTTCCCAAAATACTCCTGAAGCATAGCTCAACCCGTTCGTGATAGTTTGGGTAGTTAAGTCTAGTGAGTTCGATGTAGTTAGGTACCATCTTTTTCCAGCTCCTCTGACAAAATGGATTTGTTCAATTATAACTGGGAAGAGAAGCTGTTGATGGGAAGTTACTGTGCTCTTATAAAAAGCAGTTACTCGTACAATTTAGAGCCATCCTTAGATGTATCAGGTTCCAAACCATGCCCCAGTGATCCTCAGGATCACTGAACTGTAATTTTCTCCTCCTGGCTATGTTCTCTTCTTTTCTCTCCTGTTAGATTCTGTGCCAAATGTAGCTAACGTGATCCACTTTTCACATTTTATAGGAAATTCTTATTTGAGCAATACCCGAGGGAGTGCCTCTTTTTTTTCTTTTTATGCTTGCTTGTACCACATTTGTTATTATTAGCATAAACTGTCTTCATACACGCAAGTACATCAGAGCTAGGACCTGGGCCATTTTCTACCTTTTTATCCAGTTATTTAGAAGTACGTATTGAGGTGAAATTTCACTTACTCTTGCACTCGCTCTGCAAGTGATATTTTGGGGCATTGCTTGTCAGTTCTTCTTCTACTCCACAGGCGAAGCAGTGATCATTGCCTGTCTGCAGTCAGAAGAGAAACCAAGGATAGGGGACAAATGTCTTTTGTATTAAAAATGTATACTTGAATCATATGTAAAATGACAGGATAAAACATTTAAAGTCTTTCCAATGCCATGATCATTTATGACTGTTAAAAAGGCTTTGCAAAGAGCTGAAAGCAGTGGTTGCTGCCTTCAAGATACCTGGCTAGTACTGCTCATAACAATGGGCTTTTTAATATGAAAACCTTTTCGCAAAGAATGAGGTGAACTGATTGAATTCTTTCACATAAGCCAGGAAACAGAAGTCAGAGCCTAAGGATTCAACCAGTGCTTGAACTAGATTTTTCTGATGATTTATAGTAGAGCTGAAGGGCTGTAAACTAATCAAAGTGTTGGGTATGCATATCTAGCAAGAGCAGTAATATTAGTTCCTACAGGACAAAAAGGAAATTGGAAAGAGAGGTGACAGACAGCATTGTCGTTTTAGAGTGGCAGAAATTACTTTCTTCTGAATTGAAAGGATAAGTTCTGGGTAGTTTGAATTGCAACCTGCTTTTCTGGGAGCAGACAATATAGTACAGAAATAAAATAATAAATGTCAAAATAAGTGGAGTCTGCATATGGTTTACATTTGGATATACAGCATTATGCAGAGTGGTTCAGATGCTAGGAAAACATCACTATATATACTAAAAATGTTTGTATTCAGGGTTGATTGGTAAGAGCAAGTAATGAATCAATTTGCTAATGCAGTTTGTTAAGAACTGCATCATTATGAAATAATAACAGCATTATGTTTTATGTTTAGAGAGGAGCTTATACAATTAAGCTTTGTAATTGTGATGATTTTTTATTCTGCTTCATACTGATATATAATTCTACTATAATAGTGATCCAATTCCTTTTAATTGGTTATGTCCTTGAGTAAAACATTTCAGCAATGTGTACATTTGGAATACAAAATGTATAATGTAATACATTAAATATTGAGGAGCTGACTGCTTAAGGGATTGATGATGAGTTCTGAAGTCTAGTCACTAGCCTAGTCACCAAAAACAATCTGCTCCAAATTAGTGAGGGCAAAATCTTTATTATCCAGCTGTCTTGAAGGTCCTCCCAGAAGAGATGGCAAATCGTAAGGGGGTATAGAGAATGATGTTTTCTTTCACGTCTGCCTGCCATTTCTTTGCTTCACAAAAAAATTTGGGCATATGAACAGTAGATCAAGGGATCTAAGAATAAGTTAGCCGAATCATGGTTATGATAACTGCTTTTATAATTGTATATGTATATAGGAATTTTTAGAAAAACTTTGAGAAATGAAATAAGTTTTGAAGTTGAGAGGGACTATAGAATGCTATCGTAATTCCTTGAGAACTTTACTGATCTGAAAAGCTATTGGGAAAACATGAAAAAGAGCAGACCTCTCAGGTATCATAAAGAATCAGCTAAGAGTGACCTGTGATGTTTGGAGCGTTAACCTGATCTTTCTACAACATCATCGTTTGCTTCTAAAGTTGTAGAACACTGGTAAGTAGAACAATGTTATGTAAGGTTTGGATTTTCTCCTATTAGAGATGAGATTTTATTCTCTTTGTGAGATTTTGAGAAACACTCTTTTCTATTTCCTGGTAATTAGAGGAAATATTTTTACTTGTGTCTCCCATCTCTTCTGCAGTAGAGTAGAAAATATTCCTTGATCTTAAGTTTGTGTCCACTGAGTACGCAGTCAGCCTGAATATACCGTGTTATCCTACCCAAGTTTCATTTCTAGTATTGATCACTGCTTCTGTTTATAGCCGTATCTTGTAAGAACATTGCACAATTTAATATTGTGACAAGATTGCATGCAGAGCTGTGGGATTTTCTTGTTTTGCTTTGTCTTTTTTTAATTGTTCATTCTGCTGACAGATATAATATTTTCACTTAAAGCCTTTTCCTGTTGGGAAGGGTAATTAAAGATGAGGAAGTGTTTTGTATACTCATAAGTACTTAATTTTTAGCCTGCTTTATGATGCTATATAATCTTGCTGATTGCTAGTTTTTCTTGTTATTTTCTTCTCCAGAAATAACCTTTGAACCCTTTCACCAATTTCAACCAAGTTTGAGGGTTTAGGTTCTTTAAATGTTTGTGAAAAGTTGGTGATGGATAGTGAGTATACACGCAGGTTAGTCTTCTCAGTGAGAAAAAAGTTTGAGCTGAGCTGTAATGCTGCCTTCCAAATAAGCCACAGTACATGCTGTCATCTGACAGTACTATTCGATATGAGCGAATAAGAAACTGAAGGTATTTTGCAGTGCGGAAGAGTCATAAGAGGTACAACAGAATGATACGATACAAAGCTGTAGAAAACAGTCGTATGTCAGTTTTGCCATTCATGGAATGGCCCTGGCAGAGGATTTGCTGGCTTGCCTAGAAAGGTAACAGAAGTTGAATAATCCTTTCAGTATATTAATACAATATTTTTATAAGAAGGTCTACTAAAGGACAATTAATTCAAGTGTCCACTCTGAGAATGAAGGAATGAAACCTAATTGTGATAGTGCTGTTGTAGTTTAGGCAAAGGTTTATAAGAAGATGTGTCAGTAAAAAGTCTAACGCAGTCTGAGCTGGACTCCTCAGAGACAGTATAAATAATAATTGTGTCTCTCTGTATGTCACAGTGCAACTCTGCGTAGAACATTATGTTTCATTTTGGACATACCATTACTAAAAAGATAAACAGGATGAACTTCGAGGAGGAATGTTAAATGCAGTTGACTTGTTAAAGAACACCAAGTGATTTACTTTTAAGCAATTTGGCTAAATAACAAATTGGCTACATTTCAGATATGAGGAGACATTTGTTATGTATTTAACACCACATCTGGTATTAGTGTTGCATGTGGGAGCAAGACTGGATGTTGTGAAACAAAAGTAAGAAACATAAATATCTCTGCATTTATCTCTGGAAAAATATTTCAATGGAAATTACATAAGTTCCCACCATAAGATATACTTAATACTAGACAAGACAGAATACACAAAAATCTTGGACTTAAGCCACACTGAAAATGACATGGGCTAGTTGATACAGATGATTTTTTTTTCTGTCTCTGGTTCCTAGGAAGAGTTGTTTTACTCCAAATAACTTAGAAGTAACTTTACCAAGTCATAGAACATGTTTTCCTGATGACATTGTGAAAACACAGAGGTTAGTTTCTATACTTTTTTTCTAACAGGTGAGTCCTGTTGATCTAGTTCCTAAAGAGTGACTTTAATGCTTGAAAAAATAGGTAAAAATAAGAGTACAGTATGTAAGAATTTTTACAGACTGCGTGATTAATTTAATCTGCTATCTGAAAGAAAATGTACTAATCTATGACGATAACAGAAAAATCAACCATGTACTTTCAGAAATAATTCTTTCTGTAGAACTTGCATAGCAGTTATTTCAGGGGTGGCAGAATCCTTTATTTCAATGACTGAAGACTTTTTACTTGTAATTGCTTTGGATCCAGACAAGAAATATAATGAATTAATGCTGTTTATTCTAATACAACTAGTCATTTCACCCAAAGTAATTCATGAGATTGTAAATGTCTTTTAGTCCAATGTTGGTGGTATTTGTTTGCTAGAATTATCCCCTCTTCTTCTTTTTTTTTTTTCCCTTCTAAGTAATGTATAGTGAGCTACATTTGGATGAGGTACTCTGAAGTTTGAAATGCAGTACTTGGAATACTTTTGGTGTTTCCTCCTCCCCTAAATTCTCTCCTGTTCAGATGTCATCTGTGTTGATATCTTGACAGTTTTACTACAACTTTTTCTGTTTTGCTTTGTTGCTTTGTGTATGGTATACTTTTTCAGTTTCTAGTGCCATTATATATCATCTTGCTTTCTTTGATGTTTTCATAATACTGTGTTTGCTGTTTTTCTGTGTCACTGGTGGTCAGTTAAAGCTTTTTCTTGTTTTCCTGTGGGTCTGGGACTTTAGTTTCTGGGGTAACTTTTGTTCAGTTGCTTATGTTTTCATACTAGTCAGATTTCTAAGCTCTATCAAGGATTGTTCAAACTGACTCAAGTCTTTCTTTAGTTTGTTCTCTCTCTGTTATACTATTTCCTAGATTTTTTTTCCAGATAAGTTTTTGTATAGGAGGATGATTTTTTTTTTTAAAAGTAACTATTTAATGCTAGAATAAGTGAAAGCACATGTCGCTCTATAACAGAATGGAGTTCTTGTACTCTATGGAGGCATTTTTAGAATAAACCCTAGAGCAGTAATTGACCATATCTCATTAGAGAAATGTTAATTCTGGATGTTTAATGATCCGGTCTCCTCTTTTCATCCCTTCCTTTTTTGTGCAGTGGTAGTTTCACTGCCTAGTTCATGGTAGGCCAGCTGTGGCATCGGAATTAGTGGAGACAGCATGAGGTTTACCCAGCATCTGACTGAAAGAACAGACAATTAAGACGACTAACAATAGTGGAAGACTGAATGATTGCAGTATTCTTCTATAAAGATTGGAATAGAAATAATATTAGAATAGAGAAAAATAAATAGAATAAGAACTAGGATAGACATCTGGGTTAGAAATGCTGGAAAGGGTCGCTGATACCAGCTAATGAACAAGAGGTTCTCGAGAATGTCAGTGGGAAATCTTCCTCCACACAGGTATTCTATTTGTATTTTCTCTACCCTGCGTAGTTCTGGGGTAGTGTGAAAGAGAGAGAAGGAACAACCTGGGCCAGGTGGTTTGTATGAGGGAAGACAAGAGGAAAAGATGTTCTGGGGAAAGGATATCTTGAGAAGCTCTGTCATCTAGTGAATGTTTAAAGCAAGGCGTATTGAATTCTGTTCAAGTCATCTTAAAAGCAGAGCAGCTAGTAGTCTTTGATTGGTTTTGTTGATTACAAGTTTGCCTGTAATCATGTTTCTCCTTTCTATCTGAAGAGGCCTGATAAAGGCCTTAGTTTATTTCTGGAAAGAACTTAATTTAGAGAATAAAACTATTAAGATACTTAATATCTTTTTTTTAGTT